ATGGGCTGAACTGCACAAAACGCATGATCGCACCGGCTAGTCTGGTGCGCGTTGCCATTTATTTTTCGGAGTTCGCAGTAGGTTTTGTTTAACAAAATTATTTCCACTGTCACTTTTTGAAAAAAAAAACGTAAAATCTTTTACAACCTATTACCTGACGGTGCATATAACGGCATTAGCACATTCGTGAACTGCGCCGGGCAGCACAGATTATTGTAGCATTGATAGTTGTGCCCACAGAGACCGTTCAAACATGCGCTTACAGCTCCAGTGCCATCTGGGCACATCCCCACTCCTGAAAATTAAATTCTAGTCTGAATGCCTCGGCCGCTTTTGACTTTATGACCTTTGATCACAGACTGCACTCTGTGGAAGGGAAAATAATTCAGAGCAACCCAGTGCTGACAGATTTTGCAAAAATCTCATCGCATTTAAATCAATTTTCAGCTATGAATTCATTCCGGCTAACTTAATTTCTTGTGACGGTTTATTCAGTATTCGGCCATTTAATTCAATGCAAAACGACGCAGTTTCAATAGCACCAACTAGCCGAAGCCCTGCCTTCGTTTGAATCGTTCGGATATTAATTCGAAGGAAAACTCGAAAAATTCATTTGTAGTCAAGCGTGTTGTTGATTTAATATTATGAAATATTTCAGATGACTGACCTGATGAACGAACAGCAGGCAAAAAGTAATCAACATGCCGATCGGAAAGGAAAGATGTCGGTCGGGCATTATAAAATCTTGCGGTCACTGAGCAACAGTCACCAAAAATCATCTCCTGTCCGCTGGGACATACGCCATTAACTGGGTCACCAACTTTGGTACCACGGCCGTCACACTCTTTGTAGCAGAGTGGAGTGCTACCTTCTGTGAAACACTTGTAGCCAGCCGGACACTGATTTCCTGCAAAGTGAAATCAATTGGTTAACACTTCTGTAGGAGTTCGATTCGTTTAAGAAGTAGAATGGTGATGAAGGGGAGGCGCATAGCACTTATTTTTAGACGTGCCTGAATTTACAGACTGCAGCAGAGATGTGTGATTTCAGGAATTGGTTGATTCTGACCAGTACCCAAGTTCCCACTTCTTAGCAAATTTTTGAGTGCACGCACACCAATAAAATGTTTTTGAAATCGCAGTTGCTTTAATCATTTTTAAACTACCAAAATGAGCGCCGAAAAAAGCCCTATTGAGTAGTAAAACACTAGAAAAGCGGGTGCTGCAGAACCCTAATTTACTGTGACTCTAATCCAGAAAAGAGCTGATTTAGAACCATGTTGATTAGTAAGTCACGGTTTCACCAGAGCACGCTGATCCGCTGGAACATTAGGAGGCAGGCACAGGAATAACAAGTCATGTTTTGAATGAACATTTAAAAAAGCAGCTGTATTTCATCCTTCCGCCGGAATAACCACAAAATAATAACTCATTTTGCAGCAAAACGTTCTTTAAAAACACATTCAGGAACAAAGCTGAGCAGCCCTGTCACTTGTCCCCTTATTTGCCCTCGTCCAAAGGCGCAAATCAGGAGCTGGTTCAGCTTTCTTTTTCATCCATTTCTTTTATTTTTGAATTTCGAGTGAACCTACGCAAAAATACCAGGCGGCAATAAAGTAAACCATTTTCACTGGATTTCATTTGACACGAATTTCAAACTGTTCGTGTAAGCGCGAACTTCTAACCTGGTTCGATGCACGGCCCAACAGGGTCGTTCTTTGGACAGCAAGAGTTGATCGAAGTATCACATTCGAAGCCAGCGTCCGGACACTGATTGCCGACACAGGGTCCGAGTACATAATTAAGATTGGAGCAACGGAAAGTTGCATTGGTGGCGCCTGGACAGCACTGCCCCATCACACATGTGTAACCCGTCGGACAGAGTCCATTGATGCATGCGCCGATTGGCGTAGCGCCGTCTGGACAAAGTCCTGGAAAAATTAATTTCATCTGCACTGCTATCACTCGCACAAAGAGTTAGTTGAACAAGAAAGCATATTTTAGTACAGTATCTTATGTAAACCAAGAACAATGTCCCTAAAATTTCAAAATTACAATTTTTTTGGTCCTGAAATTAAAGAATCTAGGGGTCGAAGTGCAAAGATATAGTGCTACCATTGATTCAGATTCGAGGCCTAACGCGCAACTGAAAACTTTGCTCACAAAATTTCAGCTTCCTAGATTTTGTGGTCCATATTGAAAGATCTAATTGAGTGGATATAGTGGTCTTCCCTTTGAGCGCCTTTGCGTTAGATTAGTGACGTTAAAAGACATAACAAATAGTACAGCGAAACGCGGAGGATGTTTGCTTAAAACAAACAACATGGATGCTTGCTTATCTGCGGGTTGAACGAACAAATAAAAACCAGTCACGAAGACTGTTTGAATTGGTCTCGACCGTAGAATCCTGAACACAGATCGATCCATATTTTAAGAAAGTTTTTTGTAGAATAACAATTAAGTTGTTTTATCTAGATAATTTAGCTGTCTCCAATATTATAGAACGCTTTTGAAATAATCTCAAATGTACACTGCGCCTCTTTTTGGTTTAAATTGCTAAAAATTAAGAAAGTAGAGATAAATTGTAATTAAACTGCTAAACAGGAATGTTTAGTGGCATTCGAACTGAAAAGAAGGTAGTTATTAGTTACAGTACAAAGAGCTCTAGCGACTTTTGAAAATGCTGATCACTCCGGCAAATAAAAAAGCTCGTAATTAATCCGAGGAAATTATAAGACTCAATTCCGTTGCGTTTCCAAGAAATACTACGTTGATAAAATAGTTACCGAGAGTGCTCGTCGACGGACAACACAGGTTACCAGTGGTACACACGAATCCTGCGCCGCAGTGGCCGAGTAAACAGGCACCGACGGCCGGCGAACCATCAAGGCAGCGAGGTGTATTTGTTGTCTTGTTGCAGCACAGTCCTGAAAAACATTACTCGGCGTGCTGTTGTTCGGACGTGAGCGTTTGTCGATTTCAGCACAAGGTGTATGCATTCTAATGAAACAGTTCATACCGTTGACGCACGTGAATGAAGCACCACATTGGCCGAGTATGCAAGCACCAGCTGCTTGAGTACCATCTGAGCATACTGCAAGTGAATTTTTGTCACACAATGTTCACTCCATTCCTTATTATGCTTTTTTAGCAGCTATGCAATGCAGAAAACGCATATTGACGAAAGATTGTCTGCGCGTGTGTGTGTCTGTGTATGTGTGTGTCTGTGTGCCTGTGTGTGCGCTGGGCCTCTGTACCGATTTTTTATTTCGAAACCTACAAAAGCTACAGAGCTGAAACTTTGAGAACTTAATCTATATGCATGTACGGGCCCCATTCCCAAAATAGGCGGTCTTACTTGCGTGGTACCCACGTGCGGGTCCGTGAAAGTTTTTTTGTGTGTAAGTCGCCAACTCGGGAACCAGAAATGCTGGAAAGCTGAAATTTTAAGGGGATGTTTCTCACCCAAGTAGATATTAATGAGCTCAAAGCCAGCTCCCGGGTGTGCGTAGTACCCAAGTACGGGCCTGTGAAACTTTTTTCTCGGGTAAGTTGATAACTCGGGAACCTGAGAAGCTAGAAAATTGGAGTTTGGAAAGAATGTTTTTCATCCAAGTAGGTATTAAAGAGCTCAAAACCAGCCCCCGGGTGTGCATGATACCCAAGTACGGGCCCGTAAAATTTTTTTCCTGGTAAGTCGCTAACTCGGGAACCTGGAAAGTCAGAGGACTGTAATTTTAAGGGAATGTTTCCCATCCATTAGGTATTAGTGAGCTCAAATCTAGTTCCCTGAATGTGCGTGGTACCACAGGCTCGTGAAATTTTTTTCGGTCAAGTTGCTAACTCGGGGACCTGAGAAGCTAGAGCTGGAATTTTTGGAGGATGTTCCTTTTCCAAATAGATATTAAGTTCAAACCCAGCCCTCGGCTATGCGTGGTACCCACGTACGGGCCCGTGAAAGTTTTTTTCGGGTGAGTTGCTAGCTCGGGAATCTGTGAAGCTGGAAGAGTGGAATTTTGAATGGATGTTTCCTGACAACCCTAGCGGCCAGTCTGCAATTCTTTTAGCTAGAAGCAAAAAACAGTGCTGTTAGTGACAAAAATCTGCGGGGAGCTATACAAAAACGTATCTTCGCACAGGCAGTCCCTGCGTTGATCAGTTATTTTAAATTGCAATCCCTGCAGCGGACAAATTTGCAGAACTTGAAAAAAAAATGCCCTTAAAAATTTTTGCTAAATTTTGCTACCTAATTAGTGCTTGTACTGTGGTGCCAGTCTCGGTTTTTTTTCATGCTTTTGCGAAAAAATTTCGCACAACGGAATTTCTATTATTTTCCAGATTAGCGGACTAGAAAAATTTTTTATTTGCCAGTTAACTTTTTTATAACAAAGAACCAATAAAAACTGGCAAAAATTACTGATTACCCTCGTTTTAAGATTTCATTTTTCCAGCTTTGTTATTATGCGTTTTTTGCAGCTATGCAATGCAAAAAACGCATATTGACGAGAGGTTGTCTGTGTGT